TTTGAATTGAAATAACATGATTTCTGATTTGGATCCCACCCCTAAGGTTTCCATATCTGGTCTCATTGTTCATCTATCTAATATTGTTCTCGAGATTAAGGAAAAACAGACAAACAAATGACGATAGTGGGAATTTATAGGCCAACTAATATACTGGTATATTTAGGTCAACTCAATGATGCACTCAAGATTTACTCTTGGGGAACCGAGTTGAACGGATAAAAAATTTTTAATGCAAATTCAATAAAATTCTCACCTTACGTGACCAATAATTCATAAATAATATAGAAATAGAAGACACCACAGAATATAAATAAAAAAAAATGAATTTTAATTAGGAAAAGATTTTGGAAAATTTTCTACTGTTTTTTTCCTTTTTCTTTGGATGTGGCCAGGGTCCCTGGACCCCTCATGGGTGTGCCACTGGGTCAACTGGTGAAGTTTATCTTACAATATAAGTTAGGTGGGCATTATTACAGGAAATACAGTATATTCACTAATAAATAAATGAATTTGTTTAACTATATAAGAATAAAACTAACGTATCAATTATTAATTTACACTTTGATAAATACGATAAATATTTAACTGATAAATATCCTATATTGGATTTTGATAACATTATTAATTTTTATTTTTCTATAATAATCTTATCATTTATATATTATCAACTAATATATCTTCATAAGACTTTTTAAAACTGAAAGTTCAATGAGTGATATTAGAAAAAAATAAATGAAAATTTAAAAAAAATCATTACATCTTTTCTCATTTTAATTATTGAATGAAATAAAATTGCTGAATTTGTAATTTGAAACTGCTTAAATAACCCTACAAACAAAAAATATATTTAAATTGTATTGTAAATTATTTAGCTATTCTCAATCTCATACTTATATAAACTGATATCAGGCAAGTTTTAGCACTTGACCATTTGTATCATGGTAATATCAGAGAATTGGTTTTGTGATCAAACACAAATACCATCTTATAAACAGGTTTGAGAATTTAATCTTTAACTGTCTACTTGGACATAGCTTATTAGTAAGACGTTACACTGGTGTTTAATAATTGATACAAAACTGACAGTTGGATCAGGAAAATTTTTATTTTCCTGATCTAACTGTCAGTTTTAATTATTTAAAATAAATTTTATAAATATTTTAATTTAAAAATTGTTCCATATTTCAATCAGTTAATCCTGAGGATGGCTATCTAGAAAGCCAAAAACATTCAATAAATAAAATATTTGTACTGGAAGAGGCTTGGACGTTATCATTTATTCAATTCACTAGTTTACAAGATTTATTACAATGTATTTCTTGGTAATTAGAAATGAGCGCACACTGATCATACCACAGGATTCCTTGTTAGAAACCAACCAAAAAAAGAAAAAACTACTGCTGTTTTTTTGATTGGACACACCATTCTGGAGGTATTCACGCTGAAAGTTTTATGACATCACTTTCGATCATTCAAAATTTACTGCTAAAACCATCAAAATAGCCTTTTGGCATTCCTAGAGTTTCCAGCACCACCTGTAGACTAGTTTTTATGGTAGATGGCATCTCAAAGCACTTCTTTACAGATGGGAAACAGACTCCTAGAAAGATCAAGTAGCCAACCCCCTTGCACATGGCTTTCACTAAAGTAATACAACATGCTACAATGTGCACAAAGGAGTAATCTTTAATGAGCAGCTGCTTGTTCCTCACTAGGCAGAGGTCATTCTGAACACTTATTATCAGTTATACCACAAGTTAATAAATACCTTGTAACTTCTTTTTCTCTTTATGCTAAAAGTAAAGTCATAAAACTTTTGGCATCAATGTCTCTAGAATGGAATGTCCAACTGAAAAATGGAACTGACTTGTTTGATTGGTTTTCAACAAGAAATCATGTGTTATGATTATCGTGCATGCAGTTCTCACCATCCTGTATAAATGAAACAGACTGTCATATATCAAATATGTATTTAAAAAATTAAAGAAAATATTAATTAATTGATTACTTTCTTTATCTTTTACTATAGTTTATTTATACATAAAACTTTGATGACAACTTTAATAATAAAAAAATATATTTAAATTTATGCAAATGCATCAATGATAATCATGTTTACATATTACAGCAAATATTTTAATAGTTTTATAAATAGCCTATATATATATGTTATTTTAGAATCGTCTCTTTATAAATTACTTCATATCATACATTTAATATTAACATTACTTTCTTGAATATAAAATATTTAAACAAATTCTATAATTTAAGAATTTCACATAGACTTACATTGACATTACATGGTCAGTCACAAAAGTTTAGATATGAATAGAATGTGATAATAAAATTAAAAAGAAAAACATGCAAATTAACTGAGCAGTAATTAGTCATATGAAATAATCAAAGTGTCATTTCAATGGATAAAACTTAAAAAAAATTTAGGAAAAACTATAGAAAAATCACTGATGCAAAAGTTTAAGCACATGTCATTTTATGCAAGTTTTAAGTAGTGTCTGATCAGTATAAAAGTAAAAGGATCATTTTCATCAAGTAATAATGCCAAAGTCTTTACAATTCACAAGAGAGAAGGTTTGCAGGATATTCAATTTGAAATCTGAAAATAAGGCTGTTGCAGAAATTGCAAGTGCTGTACAATGATCTAAATGTAGCCATTACTCCAACATTACAGATTTCGATGCCACTCCACGACCAGCGAGAGAACTTCAGAACTCGCACAAAATTTAAATTTTACACATAGGGTCAAATTTTTCATAAATCCATAAGTTTGTAAGTAGAAGAGCTCCAGTATACGGAAGCAAAAATCCGTCAATAATAAACTTTTGTGGCTTTTGCCAGTTATCGGTTTGTGGAGCAGTTTATTTTAAAGGTATCAGAAAACGGTTAAAGTATATCTAGGTAACCCCAATCGTGGCACTTTGGTTAGGTTAGGTTAGACATTTGAACTCGAGGGACCAAGATGAGTTCAACGGTACCCTACTTTTGGACCGGAGACCAAAAATAAGAAAGTTATCATACTTTTTTCCGGCAATTGCGTGAAGATCGGGAGTCGCGTCACTCTCTCCGCTAAGCCTATCGCGCGTTTAACAGGTAGTCCAGCAAGTCAGCCATATATACCTTCAGCAGAGGCAGATGTCGATCCACGAGCACACCGATCATCTGCAGTTGCAGTTAAGTCCTTTTTGCACGCCCTCGCGCTCCTCGACCTCGGGCCGCCGACACGCTTGCTATCGCTTGCAGTTGGCTAGTACTACGCGCCACTTTCTCAGCTCGTCCAACAAACCTAACCTATCCCTCCGGGAGATAATAACTTTCTTATTTTTTGTCTCTGATCCAAAAGTAGGGTACCATCGAGCTCGTCTCGGTCCCGAGTTCAAATATCTAAACCTAAATATCTAAATTTAACAACTCACGCCAATATTTGTATAACTTATGGATACAAATTCACCGAGTTCAGCGTTAATAAAGTTCCTTTAGTATTAACACAAGCACTTTCGACGAGTGTATATCCTGCACGTTGTCTTGTTAAAATTTGTTCTTTTCACCTGAAGACGACGATTATACACTCGTCAAAAGTGCTTGTGTTAATACTAAAGGAACTTTATTAACGCCGAACTCAGTGAATTTGTATCCATAAGCTAAATATCTAACCCGACCTAACCGAAGCGCCGCCATTGGGGTTACTTATGTATACATTGACGCAGAAAACTGTAATTATTTGTGTTTATACATATAATATCAATATAAAAATTGCCTAAATATGAAAAAAGATTTAAGAAAAGATATATTTTACCATTTGTGTACCATCCCCCAATTTTCACTGGTTGATCATCTAATTTATATACATCTAATTTCCTTTTAGTCAGCTGATACCAAAATCCAGGATCTAAAACAGAGGAGAATGGAGAAAATTGCAGGATTGGATATTCCATCATATTTCAAATTTGATCACATCCTACAGAAAAAGCATTAGAAAATTTAATAAATAAAACTCATTTATCGAAAACAAATATATATATATATATATTATTACTCCAGCTTGTCATCGAGTTATCTTATATTTGTTTATTTGAAAAATTCATTTATTGGACAATTTACTATAACCTTACCAAACTTTTTATTTTTCTATAATAATCTTATCATTTATANAAAAGTTTTAAAATTAATTCGTTATTATAAATTAATATTAAAAATTAATTAAATTAATTATTATAGTAAAAATAGTTTTTTTAAACCTCTTTCCTTTTTCCGCCTTGTAACAGTCGACCCCCCTATAACACTGTTGATAATTCCGTTTTATATGAATTCCATGTTGTACGAGTCACTTAGATTTTACAAATACGTGTGCCGTTCACAGCCCGGCACACGTATTTGAATCTTTTATCGGACCCATATGTTCGACTAGGGCCTCCAAAAAGGCCGGATGGCCGAGCGGTCAAGGTGGCAGCCTACCGCTCCGGGGGACCCGGGCTCGAAACCGAACGGGTCGAAAAATCCCCAGGAATTTTTCGGGGGTGGTCCGTGAATATATCGGGCCCAGTCCCTCATCACCCGGCAGCCCCATTGTGGGCCTGGCCAAACCCATAATGGGCTTGCAAAAAGAGGTTCTCTTAGTGCCCACAGGGCGGAAAGAGTTAAAAAAAAATCGTGGCAGATTCCACTTTTATCTTAAAAGATTTAAAATAAGCAATACTAGCAATTTAACCATTTGTACCACCCCAGACTACATAGATCACGTTGGGTTGCTCAACATTAAGGACACTTATCAGGCTCTTAACGTACTCGTCAATAAATATAAACCAAGCCACCATCATTCTTGGACTTAGGCTAGACCCGACACTTCTTTAAACATAAAAGTTATTTCAGGTGAGTTTATAAGTTTTAAAATATTATTGCACGAATATTTAAAAGTATTTTAATAATTTAGATATTTTTTTAATATAAAAAAACACATAAATAAATGGTACTTTTGAATGTATTTTCGAATGTGAGTTGACGTCGTGGAATCGAGTTGAAAGATTCCAATACCAAACCGTCTGAATGTAAGTTTTAAATTGTAATTTAAAACCATTTTTTATTATAATGTTATGTTTTTATATTAAGTGGCACGTTGTAGTCTATTAATAGGCTGCATTGTTTAATTTTAAAATAATAAAAGAACCGAAAAATATAAATTTTGATTAGTTGGATGGAATTCACATCGAATGCGATTGCAATCTCTGCCTTTCTCATAAAAGCCAATAAATGATATATTGTAATTAACAGAAGAATTCACCCATCTTGTGTGTTTTTATCAATCTTAATAATAATATTTTTTTTCTTTTAGACTGAGTATTTTTATTTTAATCCTTTCGTTAACCACAATACACAACCGTTTATCAAGCAGCCAGTGTTTATTACTCTAACGTTTTGGTCTTCTTAATCGACCTTCTTCTGTATATATGTGAATTTTACAATTTAAAAAGAATAAATCCATTTATTTATTCGAAATTCGAACGCCGTAAACCTTTAATAAATAAAGGTTCATGGCGTTCGAATTTTACAACGAAAGAAATTTTTAAAATGGGCGCGCCCGTTGGTCTTGTTCCAAGAACGAAACTTTACTCTTTTCCATTGCTTATATTTCGGCAATTCCTTTATAGAAATTCCTGAAATTTTGCACACTACTTAAGAAAAGAATTATTTTTCGAACGAGATATTTAGAATTAATGTAGGGGTTCGGGGAGCGGAGAAATCGACTGTACATGTACGTGTGCCGGGGTGTGAACAAATACGTGTGCCGGGCTGTGAACGGCATACGTATTTGTAAAATCTAAGTGACTCGTACAACACGGAATTCATATAAAACGGAATTATCAACAGTGTTATAAGGGGTCGACCGTACAGTACTGTACGCGTCAATCTTATTCTGAAGGAGAATGGTCTTTTTCGACATTAAATCGCATTAAAAATCATTTAAAATGTAATTTGTTTCAAACAAAATTGTCATATTCGCTTCTACTTTCCACAGAAAGTGAAATATTAATTAAAAACAGTTGCCATTTGAGGAAATTATTAAAGATTCTGCACGCAAAAAGTGTACAAAAGTTCGGGAATGTCCCTGAGCTTTTATCTATCTAACTCCGTTCTCGAGATTAACGGACAGACAGGCACCCAGACGGACTACGGGTGAAAATTTACGAGTCTGCAATTTGAATATTGCGGCTCAATTAATTATCGTGTCGGTCGCTTATGTTATTGCTTTAATAACGCGAATATAACACCTTCGATTCCACGCAGTCGACAACATTACGTCAAATAAGACGAATTCGTACTTATCCGAGTTTTCTTTATTATTAATTGTATTTTAGAATATATTTTTTTTTTGCGATTTAAATTTAAGAAACCCTTTGTTGACCGGAGTGCCGTTCTGTATGTGCCTCCCCCCATTGTTAAGGGAACCGATTAGTAGGCGCCATGTTAAAAATCGATTTTTATAAAATTTATCGACAACAGATGTCAGCACTTGACGGCAACCTCTCGTCTATTTGTTAGTTAATTCTTTTTTCTTGCTTTATTTTTTCGTAATAATTTTTTATTTCAGTTTTAGCATATTCATGCAATAATCTAAATATATAAAATTGCTTGTCCTGACTGACTCATTCATTCATTCACTGATTCATCATCGCCCAGAGCAAACCGCTTAACCTAAAGAGGTGAAATTTGGTACACAGTTAGGGTACGTCATGGAAACGCACACTAAGAAAGGATTTTTCGAAATTCCAACGCGGGGGGG